CCCTGGGGTGTCTCTGTGTGGGCTCTGAGCCCCTGGGTGACACCCTGGGGTGTCTCTGTGTGGGCTCTGAGCCCCTGGGTGACACCCTGGGGTGCCCCTGTGTGGGATCTGACGTCCTTGGCTGAGGACTGAGCCCCTCGTGCGAGACCCTGGCGTGCCCCTGAGTGCTTTGTGTGACAGACTCCGGTGGGTCTGTGTGGGAACTGATGTCTGGGTGGCACCCTGGGGTGTCCCTGTGTGCGGACTGAGCCCTTTTTGTGAGGGCCGAGCTCCTCGGGTGCCCCCCGCACCCTGCAGTGCAGGACAATGGTTGTGAGACCCTCGTGCAAATGCTGAGCTCCTTGTGCCCCCCGTGTGAGCCTCGGGGCAGCTTTGTGCCAGCCCTGGGGCAGCTTTGTGCCAGCCCTGGGGCAGCTCTGGGTGAGTCTTGGGGTGCTCTGGGGGGTTGTGGTGTGAGGGCAGCTGTGAGCCCTGGGCGGGCGTTTGTGCTGGTGGTGCCAGCCCTGGTGCTCCCCGAGCTTATCTTGGGCCAGCCCTGGTGTGTTCTGGTGGTGCCTGGTGTGTCCCTCTGTGCTGGCTCCTGGGTGGGGCCCTGGTGCCAGCCCTGGGGCGAGAGCCGTGCCTGCTGGTGCCAGCCCTGGTGTGGAACCTCATGCCCTTTGTGTGTGGGCTGTTCTGAGGGACAGTGGGAGGCCTCGTGCCCTTGTGGTGGGAGCCCTGATTCCGCTGTGTGGGCTCTGGTGCAGCCTTGTGCTGGTGCTGGTGCAGATCCTTGTGCCCTCTGGGGCAAATCCTGGGGCAGATCTCTGTGTGAGGCCTCGGGCAAGGCTGGGGGCCCTGGGGAGAATCCCAGTGGAGCCCTGGTACCCCCTCGTGCCCCCCGGTGCTCCCGGTGTGAGGGCTGTGTGACCTGGTGCCAACACTGAGCCCTGGTGCTCCCTGATTCAAGTCTTGGTGCCCCCCTGTGCTGGTTTACAGGTAAACTGGCAGGAGAAATGAACCCAACTCAAAAGAGAGTGTAAGTCAGAGTTACAGTTTAATAACAATAGTGCAATAAATACAATTATATGGACAAATAATTGGTTTTAATCCACAAAACCCAGAAGTGTAACCCAGCAGCCTGGGGCACGAACAGAGTGGTGTTTGTTGGCCCCTGTGCTGAGCCCCACGTGGTCCCCCTGAGTGGAGAGTAAAAGGGGAGGGAAAACCTGTTGGTGAGAGTGCTGGTCACAGTCTGGTCGAGGTTCTGGTCCTCCTCTGGATGCGACAAGTGGGGCCCAGAAGTGCCAAGACCCCAAGATTCTACACCCTCAGGTTGGAGTGGGAATGCCCAGCACCTCCCCCAGGGTGGGGAGTTCCACAGTGGGTGACTGTGAGCTGTGAGATACTTTTGGGATCCTTGGTGGCCCATTAGCAGAGGTGACCCCTCAGGCTGGGTGTGGAGGTGCTAATGACTCCCTAGAGGGGAGTTATCCCACCCGAGTCATTGGTGTGAGGAGAGGAACATCCTCCTGTCTCTCAGGCTTCCTGACACCCAGCTTATGGCCTGAGGGATCAGGTGTGCTGTGGGCAGCTGCTGCAGATGTTTTGTTGTTACCAGTTCCTAGGAAATGACATGGAGAGTGTAGAATCCATTGTTTGGGTTACAGCCACCCAGTGATGAACTGCTCCCGGCTGCTCTAACTAGGACACCCCCACCATGTGCTCTGATGCCCCCCAGAAGAAGTCCTGGTGCCCCCTCTGGTGTCCCCCAATACAAGTCCTGGTGCCCCCCTTGTTTGAGCCGTGGTGCCTGCCCCGTGTGTCCCCCCCAGGCCAGGCTGACCCTCCTGGGTCACCGTGTGTCCCTGTGCCCCCCCGACCCACTCTGTGCTCCCTCTGACTGACCTGTGCCACCCCTGACCTCCCCTGTACCCCCCTGCCCCCACTGTGCCCCCCAGGCCGGGCTGACCCTCCTGGGGCACCGCGTGTCCCTGCACTACAGTGACCCCAAACCCAAGATCAACGAGGACTGGCTCTGTGCCAAGGTGAGAGAACCGGGGGGGCATCAGGGTGGGGGGTGTCCTGAAGGGGGAATTTTGGGGGTCCTGGGGGTTCTTGAGGGGATTTCTGGGGGTCCTGGGAGGAATGGGGGGCTTGGGGGGTTCTTGGGAGGGTGCAAAGGGGTTGGTGGGGGCTGTGCAGGGTTTTGAAGGGGTTTGGAGGGTCTGGGGGGAAGACTGGGGGGTCCTGGGAAATCTTGGGGGGTGTCTGAGGGGGTCCAGGGGGGTTTCAGAGTGGGATTGTTTTGGGGTGCTGCAGCTGGGAGGTCTCTGGGCAGGTTTGGGGGTCCGGGGGGCTCTGAGTGTGACGGATTTGTGGGGTCTCAGTGTGGGGTGCAGAACTTCAAGCGACGTGAGAAATGCTTCAAGTGTGGAGTCCCCAAAGCTGGTGAGTGACCCCAAACCCTTGGGATTCACCCCAGAACCCTGTGGGCCCCCTTTCACTCCCCTGCACTGCCCCAAAAGTGGCTGTTCTCACCCCAAAACTATTGGGGTTCTCCCCAACACCCAGGAGGTCCCCAAAATTCTAAACTTGCTCCCAGATTTGCTCTCAAACTACCCTGGGGGGTCCCCAAAACTGTCCCCAAAGATGTCGCAGGGAAAGGGGAGGAGTTTGGGGGTGAACTGAGCAATTTGGGGGCTCAGGTAATGAACTGGGGGGGGGGATTGGAATTGGAGGGCGGGGGGTGGTTTGGGTTTCACAGCCTCGGTTGGGGGTTTGCCCACAGAATTTGGGGGTGACCATCCAATGTTGGGGTCCAACCCCCAGCTGGTGGTTCACCCCCCATTTTGGGGCTCAGTGGCTGACGGGGGTCTGGGGGGCTGTTTTGGGGTGCAGAGGCAGAGCAGCGGGGCCCGGGGGGGCCACGGCCGGAGCTGGTGCCGGGAGGGGGGGGGCTGCTGCCCCTCCCCCAGGCCTACGGCCCCACACTGGGGGGGGCCCCCTGGGGGGTCCCAGGGGGGCACCGAGCCCGGAGCCGATAACGCCAATGACAGTGAGTTGGGGGGACCCTTGGGGGGGTTAAGGGCATTTTTGTGATGGTCTTTGGGGTTCTGAGACGATCTGGGGACATCTCCAGGAGTCTTGATGTGATTATGGGGGTCCTGAGGGGTGTACGGGGCTTTTGGGGGGTTCTGGAAGAGGTGAGGTGGGACTTGGGGGGTCTGGGGGGAGTCTAGGGAGGGCTGAAGGGGGTCCTGGAGGTTTTCTGAGGTACTTGATAGGTCTTGGGATGGATTAGTGGCGTCTGGAGGGACACAGGGGGGGTCTTGAAGGATCCTGGGGTGGTTTATGGGGTTCGAAGGGGCCTTTCGGGTCTGTGGGCAAGTCCAGGGGGAATTTGGGGGTACTGGGGGCCTTGAGGGGGGATTGAAGGATCTGGAACTGGAGGGGGGTGGTCCAGAAGAGCCTAAATACAGATTTAGGAGGGTCTTGAGAGTGTTATTAGAACCTTAAGGGATGCCTGCACACCTGGGTCCCCCCCAAACCTGGCTCCCCCTGACACTGTGTGTGTGTCCCCCCCTGCCCTGCCCCCCTCAGCCATCATCCTGCGGAACCTGCACCCCCAGAGCAGCCTGGAGTCCATCCTGGCTGCCCTCGCCCCCTTCGCTGCCCTCTCGGCCGCCAACGTGAGGGTCATCAAGGACCGGCAGACGCAGCTCAACCGCGGCTTCGCCTTCGTGCAGCTCAGCACCATCGTGGTGGGGGCCTGGGGGGGCCTGGGGGGCTGGTCACCACTGGAGGGGGCTGGAGGGGGTTTGGGGGCCTGACCACCATCATCAGGGGGCTGGGGGACCCTGGAGGGCCGGTCACTGTCGGGGTGGGGGCTGAGGGAGCCGGGTGTTCCCAGACACCCAAACCCTTCCAGACACCCGGGCCTTGTCCCTGGGGTGTCCCACACGGGGCTGTCTCCAGAGTGCTTTGCGTGGGGTGGGTGGGACACCAGGGCCTGTTTGGGGTCTCCACCCCACCACTGTGACCGTGGGGACCCCAAAAACCCCCCCAGGAGGCGGCGCAGCTGCTGCAGATGCTGCAGGCCCTGCACCCCCCGCTGCACATCGACGGCAAGAGCATCAACGTGGAGTTTGCCAAGGGCTCCAAGCGGTGAGAGCCACGCCCAGCCACGCCCCAGCGTGGGCCACGCCCCTGGCTCATCCCCACACTCCCAGCCACTGCTGGCTGTGCCTTGGCAGAAGCCACACCCCCCAGCCTGGCCACACCCCCATGGCCACACCCCCAACCAGACCATGACTGGCACAGGCCACACCCCTGGGCAGGCCACACCCCAGTGCCAGGCCATGCCCTAAAGGCCTTGGCCCCCATAACCCCAAACCCCACCCATTCTAGGCCGCACCCACAGGCCCAGCTTTGGGACACCCTGTGACTGCCCCAAGCTCTCCCTGCAGGTGCCCCAAGCCCTGCCCCATAACCAACCCTGCCCCATAACCAGCCCTGCCCCATTGCACTATTCACGCATAAGCCCCGCCCACCACAGTGAAGCCACACCCCCTCTGCTGGGTGGGAACTCCCACCCTGATGTCCCACCCACTTCCTTTAAGCCACGCCCACACAGTCCTTGCCCCCTCCCCTGACTGTCGGCTCCACCCCCAGGGAGGTGCAGGGGGCGGGGCCAGGGGAGGGGCCGCCCCGCGCCAGCGCCGCCTCCGTCGCCTCCACGGCCATCGCTGCCGCCCAATGGGCGCTGTCACAGGTGGGCGGGGCCGGGGCGGGGAGGGGAGTGGTGCAGTGGGAGGGGCTGGAGTGGGTGGAGCTCACTGGGGGGCGGGGTCTGGTGGGTGAATGGGGTGGGGGTTGGTGATGTGTGGGCGGGGTTTGCAGTATAGGAGGCGTGTCCTGATGTGGCCCCGCCCCCGCAGGCAGCCCCGGGAGGTGACTCTGCGTGGTCAGGGGGGGAGGAGCCGAACACCGACTTCAGTGGCTTCTACCAATCGGAGGAGCCCTTTGCTGGCCCCGCCCCCACTATCTATGGCTCCGCCTACCTGAAGGGCAGCTCGGCCCCGCCCCCCGGTCCCGCCCTGACGGGCCCCGCCCCCAGCAAGGCCGATGGCCCCGCCCCAGGTGAGTGTGGCCCCCCCGCTGTGTTCCCAGGTGTGGCCCCGCCCCCAGGTGTGGCCCCGCCCTCCCAGGTGTGGTGGCACCTGCCGAGCGTTTGGCGCCCCCTGCAGGTCCGGAGGAGCCGGCGCAGGATCCCGCGGGGGGAGGGGGCGGCCCCTTCTCCCGCCCCCCCCCCGGCGGCCCCCCCTACCCCTCCCCCGCTGCCGAGACCCCCACGGCGACACCCCCGGGAGCCCCTGGACAGGTGGGTCCCCAAAATCGGGGAGGGGTCCCCAAAAGTGAGGGGGGAGGGAGAGCACCCCAAAAGTCGTGGAGGATTGGGGGGTGTCCTTAAGAGGGGGGGTGGGAGAGGAGGGGAGGCCCAACAGATGGAGGAGGGGTTGAGTTTGGACGGAACCCCAAAAATTGAGGAAATTGGGGGTGGGCTGCAAGTGGTGACGGGAAAGGGAGAGCTTAAAATGGGGAGGGGGGGATGGAAATGGGGTGGGGGGACCCCAGAAAAGGGCAGACTCAGGGGGACTTGGGGGTTCAGGGGGGATTTTGGGGTGGGGAGTAATTTTGGGGTCCTTCATCTCCCTCAGGTCTACTCGGGGCCCCTCAAGGCTGAGACCCCGAATGCAGCCCCTGCTGGGCCCCCCCCCGGCCGCCCCCCCCAGCACTGAACCCTATGGCCAGTACCGTGAGTGGGACTAGGGGGGCTGGGGGGCTTTGGGGGGGCTTTAATGGAGGCCTGGGGAGAGCTTGGGGGGGGCTTGAAAGGACTGTTGGGGGCCTGAGGCCTGGGGAAGGGTCCTGGGAGGGGTGTGGGGGTGTCCTGGGGTGGTCTGGGGGGATGTTGAGGGGGTCCTTCGTGGTTTGGGGTGGTCCTGAGGTGGTTTTAGGGAGTCCTGAGGGGGACTTCTGTAGTGCTGAGGGGAGTTTTGGGGGGTCCCAAGATCTTGGGGGCTGTCCCAGGGTTTTGGGGGTCCCCCCTGACCCCCCGTGCCCCCCCAGCCGTGCCCGACGTCTCCACCTACCAGTACGACGAGACCTCAGGGTACTACTACGACCCCCTGACCGGCCTCTACTATGACCCCCACTCCCAGGTGGGACTTCTGGGGGGGCACGGGGAGGAACTAGGGGGTTGGGGGGTCCTCCCCACTTGTCAAGCACAGTTTTGGGCAAAAAAAGTGCAATTTGAGGCTGAAAATAGTGTTTTACGGCTGGAAGGTGTTTGGAGGAAAATTCTCATATTTAAGGACTTTTTACAGGTTTGTTTGAGGCCAGTGGGAGGTTTTTTGGGTGAGGGGGAAAGTTTTGGGATACAGGAGACACCTTTAAACTCTTCCAGCCAAATCTTGGGCCCAAACAGCGTGAATTTGGGCCTGAAATGTCATTTTAAGGCTGGAAGGTGTTTTGAGGTGAAAAAGGGGGAGTTGGGGAGCATTTAGGGTCCTGTTTTGGGGTCCTGGGGGCAATTTTGGAGTGCAGTGGATGATTTTTGGGGTGCTGGGGGTGCTACTGGGGCTCCAGAGGGCCCATCTTGGGGTGCAGGGAGATGGTTTTGGGGCCCTGGGGGGGATGGTGGGGGTCCAGAGGGCCCGTCTTGGGGTGCAGGGATCCCCCCTGACCCCTCTGCCACCCCCCAGTATTACTACGACGCGGGGGCGGGGCAGTACCTGTACTGGGACGGGGACCGACGCACCTACGTGGCCGCGCCCCCCGCCGAGCCCACCCCCGGCCCCCCCGGCCCCCCGGGGCCCCCCAAAGAGCCCAAGGACAAGAAGGAGAAGCACAAGACCAAGACAGCCCAGCAGGTTTGTGGGGAACTGAAGAACAGAGGGTCTGGGGGGGGCTCAGGAGCCCTCCCGGGTTCTCAGAAGTGAGGGGAGAGACCCCAAGAGCAGTTGTGGTCATCAGAGACTTCCTCTGTACCATCTGGGGGGGGGCCAGTATGGTCTGTGAGTCGCCACAGATCCCAGGGATGTCCAAGAACCCCCATGGACCCTCCCCCACCCCAACAGCATCGTGGGCATCCTCAATATCCCCCGTGGGTCCCCCAACAGCCCCCCAGTCCCTGCTGTGTCTCTCCCCATCACCCCCAGCTGCCCACAGGCCCCCAGTACCCCCTGACCCCCCCACATCCTTCCCCCTCAGGGGGTTGGGGGTCTCTGAGCCCCTCGGGGTGCCCCCCAGCCCAGCAGCCCCCCGGCCCCCCCCAGATCGCCAAGGACATGGAGCGCTGGGCGCGGAGCCTCAACAAGCAGCGGGAGAGCGGGCGCAGCGCGGGGCCCCCCCCGGCCCCCCCGCGAGGACGAGCGCAGGGAGGCGGCGGCGGCCGACGCCGGATACGCCATCCTGGAGAAAAAGGTGGGGCTGGAGGGGACAGGAGGGACGGGGGGAGTGTCTGAGGGGGCTTTGGGTGGGCGCGGGGGGGCCGGGAGGGTTGGGGGGCTGAGGGGCTGGTTGGGGGGCTGTGGGGGTTGTTTGAGGGGGTTTGGGGGAGGGCTGGGGGGTCAGGGAGGGCTGGGGGGGCTGTGTGGGGGGCTGGGGGTGGCATGGGGCCGTATGAGAGGGACTGTAGGAGGGGCTGTGGGTGTTACATGGTGGGTGCCGGGAGGCACTGGGGGGTCTGGGGGTCCAGGGAGGTGGCGGTGGGTGCTGGGTGGTGCCATGAGGGTCTGGGGTTGCTGCTGGAGGGGAGGTGCTGGCTGTGGGGGTGATGTGGGGGACCCCTGGGGGCACCGTGGGGCTGCACGAGCCCCCCAACCCCCTTGACCCCCCCCCACCTCCCCAGGGGGCTCTGGCTGAGCGGCAGCACCTGCCCCTGGAGCTGCCCCGGCTGGCGAGCGACGAGCGGCTGGTGAGACCCCCAACCCTGAACCCCTCAATCCTCTGACATCCTCCTGACCTCCCTGACACCCCCTGGACCCTCCAACATCCCACAGAGCCCTCTGACACCCACCAGACATCCCCTGGACCCCAGACACCTCTCTTGACATCCCCCCTAAACCTCAACACCCCCTGAAAAACTCCCTGGGCTCTGGGATCTTCTACAAACCTCCTCCCCAAACACTTGGGATCCCCTTGGATCCCTAAACCCACCCCCATCCCAGACACTCCAGACACCCCCAGACACCTTAGACCCCCCCCGGATGCTGAGGACCCCCCTCGTTCCCTTTATCCCCCCACCTGGTCCCCAGCTCCCCACACCCCTTTCTCTCCCCCAAAGCCCCCCAGCCCCTCTGACCCCTGTTCCCCCCCCAGAGCCCCCCCCGTGGGCTGGTGGCCGCGTACAGCGGCGAGAGCGAGAGCGAGGAGGAGGGGGAGCGGGGGGGGGGCCCGGGACCCCCCGAGGAGCCGCTGACAGACTGGGCCAAACTGGCGTGTCTGCTGTGCCGGAGGCAGTTCCCCAGCAGGGAGGCCCTGCTGAGGCACCAGCAGCTCTCGGGGCTGCACAAGGTACCCCTAAATCACCCCAAATCCGGAGGGCCATCCCGGGATAAGGGGGACACCCCCCAGAGATCAGGGACCCCCCCCAGGGGCTGGCAGGGTCATACTGGAGGGTGTCAGGGCCACACAGGGGGTGTCAGGGCTGCACCAGCAGCTGTCGGGGCTGCACACAAGGTACCCCAAACACCTCAAATTGGGGGGGCACCCTGGGGTAATGGGGATGCTCCCAGAGATCAGGGGCCCCCAAGGGGCAGGGTCACACTGAGAGTGTTGGACCCTGCTGAGGCACCAGCAGCTCTCAGGGCTGCACAGGGTACCCCCAAATCACCCCAAATCCGGGGGTGCACCCTGGGATAAGGGGGACACCCCCGAGAGATCAGGAACCCTCCCATGGCCTCGTAGGGTGACACTGGGGGGTGTCAGGTTTGCACCAGCAGCTCTTAGGGCTGCACAAGGTACCCCCAAACACCCTCAAATCCGGGGGGGCACCCTGGGGTGATGGGGACCCCGTGGGAGAGCAAGGAGCTTCCCCTGGGCTGGTGGGACCCCGGTGAGAGGTGTCACAGCTCTCTAAGGGGGGTTGGGGGAGCCCCTTGTGTTTTAGGGACCCCCCCGGGATGTTGGGGGGATATCAGGGGCTCTTGCAAGGTTTGGGGGACCCCTCCTGAGATCTTGGGGAGCCCCAGTAACGGGGTGTCCCCCCTCCCCTTCCCCAGCAAAACCTGGAGCTGCAGCGCCGGAGCCACCTGCCCCCCTCTGAGGGGCCAGAGCGGGGGGACATGGAGGTGTCACATGGGGGGCACGGGGGGGGTGAGGGGCAGGGGGGCACCTGGAGGGGCGGGGACACCCGGGGAGGGGGAACTGAGGAGCATTCCTGGGAAAGGGGGGATCCCAGTGTGGTGTGGGGGGAACTTGGGTGGGCACCCAGGGGATCAGGGGGACATGGGGGGCAACTGGGGGGGGCCCAGAGCACCCAGGGGTGTTGGGGGGCACCAGTGGGGTGGGGGGGGGCACGAGGAGGCAGGGGGAGGGCTAGGGCCATCCATGGGTGCTTTGTGACCCCTCAGTGGGGTGGGGGACACTGATGGGGCTGGGGGGGCCCAGGGGGTTGGGGGCCCCCCACGAGTGCTGTGTGACCCTCAATGGGCTGAGGGGCACCCATGGGGCTGAGGGGTCCCTGGGGGCTGGAGGGCACTCCTGGGGGGCTGGGGGCTGGGGGCACCCATGGGTGCTGCCCCCCCAGATGAAGTACCGGGACCGTGCTGCCGAGCGCCGGGAGAAGCAGGGGGGCCCCGACCCCCCCGAGCCCAAGCGGCGCAAATTCGGGGGACCCCCCCCGACCCCTGGGTGAGCACCTGACACACCCCCAGGGCACCCCAGGACTCAGAGGGGAAGGGGGCTGAACATGGAGGGCTTGGGGACCCCTAAAGTGTGGGGGGAGCCAACAGCTGAAGGTGGGGTGAATGACCCCTCCTGAAATGGAGGTGGGAGGACCCCAAAGGGGGGTGGGGACCCAAAAATGGGTGTTACTGGATGGCAGACCCCAAACTGAGAACTGAGCACCCTGAAGTGGGTGGTGGGCCCCGCAGACTGGGTGCTGTAAGGTGAGGAACCCCAAAAATGGGTAGTGGAGACCCCAAAAGGGGGTACTGTGGTGCGTGGGGGGATCCCAAAATGAGAGTGGTGGACCCTGAAAGTGGGTGCTGTGGGGGTGGGACCCCTAAAACTGGGTGTGGAGACCCCAGTGCTGGTGCTGGGACCCCCGGTGGGATTGGGGTCCCTGGGGCAGTGCGTGATTCCCAGTGACTCCCCCCCATGGTGCCCCCCAGGGATGCAGAGGGGCCCCCCCGTGAGCCCCCCCTGGGCTGTCGGATGCTGCAGGCGATGGGCTGGAAGGAGGGGAGTGGGCTGGGCCGGAGGAGGCCGGAGGTGACATGGGGGGACAAGGGGGTCAAGAGGGGGCAGGGGGACGTGGGAGGGATGGGATGGGGGCAGACATGAGTGGGATGTAGGGGAGGTATGAGGGGGCACAGGGAATAGGCTGGGCTGGAGGAGGGTGGAGGTGACACCAGGGGACAGAGGGAGACAAGGGGGACGTGGGAGGACATGAGGGGGACATGGGGTGATGGGATGGGGGGGTATGAGCGGGACGAGGGGACAACACGGGGACGTGAGAGTTGGCAGGGAACAGGCTGGAATGGCAGGGGCTGGAGATGACACAGGATGGGGGGGATATGGGGACACTGGGGAGGACAAAGGGACTTGGGGGGGGCAGCGGGACATGGGGACAAGAGAAAAGGGTGGGACAGGGGGACATGGGGAGACACAGAGAACAGGCCGGGGTGGCAGCTGGAGGTGACACGGGACAATAGGGGAGACACGGGGGGACACTGGGAACACGGGGAGGGGCGGGGGGTTAATGTTGTGGGGGTGGCACCGCGTGACCTGTGTGACCCCACTGTCCCCACAGGCCCCCACCCGGTCCCGCCCCGGGGGGGTGACACGGTTCAGCGAAGGCCCCTGAGCCCCCTGGACACACCCACTGTGAGGACACGCCCTTCCCTGGACACGCCCTTCCCCGGATGTGCCCACCTGGGTCATGCCCTCCCAGGGGCCACAGTGTCTGGGTTCCCCCCAAAGGGGGGTTCCCCGACCCCCTCCAGCGTCACCCTGGGTGGGGGCACCTCGAGTGGCCCCTCCCCCCAGTGTGGCCCCACCCCTTCCCCCTTTTGGTTTTGGTGGTGGATTTTTTTCTAATAAATGAGTGAAAAAAAGCGGAATTTGGGGCTGGAATGGGGGGAAGGAAGAGGCTGCTGGGTCCTTCCTGTGGGTGGGACCCCAGAGTTCCCTCTCCTCTCTCTCCCCACCGTCCCCCACTTCCCCCCATGGCGCCCATGGGCCTGATCCTGCTGCTGCTCTGCGCTGCCCTGGGGCCCAGCGGTACTGGGGGGACTGGGAGGGACTGGGGTCCTGGCCTGGGAGGGGACTGGAGGGGACTGGGGGGACTGGAGGGGACCAGGGTAACTGGGGGGGACTGGGAGGGCACTGGGAGGAGACTGGGAGGACTGGGATGGAGTAGGGGCACTTGGGGTACTGGAGTGGACTAGGAGGGCACTGGGGTTGGGACTGGGAGGGCACTGGGAGTGCTGGAGGAGACTGAGGGGATTCTGGAAGCACTGGGGGCCTGGCAGAGGGAGGGGGAAGTGGAGGGTTAAAGGGGGCTGAGGGGCACTGGGAGGGGCTGGGGGTGGCTGGGGGGGGGATGCTGGGAGCGATGCTGGGCAGTACTGGGAACACTGGGGAGCGTTTCCTCCAGTGACCCTTTGTGACCCCTCATGGTCCTGCCCCCAGCGGCCACACCCGTCTGGTGCTTCGCCCGATTGGAGGAGGCTGAGGGGGGCGGGGCCTGCGTGGAGCTACTGGGTGATGAGCCCGTCCCATTGGCTGACTGCTGCCTCAACCCCGCCTACGGCTACAGGCTCCGCCCCCACGGCAGCTGCCTCTCCTGCCGGTTAGCCGCACCCAAAACGAGCCCTGCCCACAACCAGCACCGCCCACAACAAGTCCCACCCACAACAAAGCCCTGCCCACTAAAAACCACGCCCACCAGACCCCACTCATCTCACCTCCATGGCCACGCCCACAAACCCTTTCTAGCCCCATCCCATTGGATGAGTTCCACCCAAGTGGCCACACCCAATGCAAAAGCCCCTCCCCTGTGAGGCCACACCTACACCACTGAAGCTCCACCCACCACCACCCTCGCTGCTCCCAGCCCCGCCCTCTCATGCCCCGCCTCTCTTGTGCCCCACCCAGAGGACTTTGGGCAGGGCTGGGGGACACCAGGTGGCCTCAGGTGCCACCAGGGGCCGTTGGGGGACACCCAGTGCCACGGGATGACTCCAGGTGACACCAAGTGACCCTGGGTGACTCCAGATGGCACCAGGTGACACTGAGTGATGCTGAATGACCCCGGGTGACAGTGGGTGACCCCAGGTGACACTGAGTGACACTGGGTGGCCCCTGGTGACACCAGGTGACACCAGGTGACACTGAATGACCTCATGAGACTGCCGGTGGTGCCATGTGACCCTGGGTGACACCAAGTGACACTGAGTGATCCCCTGTGATACCGGGTGACACTGAGTGGTGCTGGGTGACCCCAGGTGACCCCAGGTGACCCTGGGTGACCTCGGTGACGCCAGGTGATGCTGTGTGACCCTGGGTACCCCATGTCCCCAGACAGGGTGAGTGGGGCCCCTGGGGCCCCTGGAGCAGCTGCTCAGTGACCTGTGGGGAGGGGACCCAGCGGCGGGGACGCAGCCGGAGCTCCGGCGGGGACGATGGGGACAGGAGGGACTGGCAGCTGCAAGCGTGTCACCTGCCCTGCTGCCCAGGTGGGACATGGGGACACATGTGGGGGGGACATGAAGGACATGGGGGGGACACGGGGGCACATGAGGGGACATGGGGAGGCCATGGGGGAACAATGGGGATATGGGAGTTCATAGGGTGAGATGAAGACATGGGGGGACATGAGGGATGTGGGGAGACAGAGGGGTTGTGGGTGGATGTGGGGACACGGGGGGGG